GAGGTCCCATTTAACCCAGCTATTCCCCTGCTCGGTGTCTTCCCAAAACAATTAAAAGCATCCTACCACAGTGATATATGCGCACCCGTGTTTATAGTGGCACAGTTGTAATAGCTAAAACTTGGAAACAGCCCAAATGCCCATCTATAGGAGACTGGAAAGAAGATACAAGTTTTTTTTTTGTTTTGTTTTTTTAAACTCAGCCATACAGAATGAGAAACTAGAGACACTTATAGCTAAATGGCTGCCCATTGAGGCCATAGTCTTAAGGAAATAAATAAGATACACATTTAAATACCAAATAGTTTCTCCTGTGTGAGAAACAAAGTGTAAATGATGATCAAAATGTATAATAGATAATGTGAAATAGCAAAAAAAAGGTCCAAAGGGGAAAGGGACGGGGAAGAAGGAGGGGTAGGGAAAAGGAAAGAAGTGAAAGGAAAAAAATATGAGAAAAGAAGGAAAAAATGGAAACAAAGTCTTTGTAAATAGGAAGAAATGGAGGGGTTGAACAGAGGGCAGGATAAGGGGAAAAAATAAAAACCAAGATATATCATGCAAAGGTACAAGTTCCCAATGATGACTGTCATTGTATTGTATACCTAAAATGTAAATTTAATGAATTAAAAAAAGAAAAAGAAAAGCCGGGCATGGTGGCGCACACCTGTAATCCCAGCACTCGGGAGGCTGAGGCAGGAGGATCGCTGTGAGTTCGAGACCAGCCTGGGCTACATAGTGAGTTCCAGGTCAGACTGAACTACATAGTGAGACCCTGTCTCAAACCCCCCCCAAAAAAAAACCAAAACAAAACAAAAAAAGAAAAAAAATAGTGTAAGGAAAAAAAGACAACAAGAAAATTGGAGGGGAAAATTGCACAGCATGGTAGGCTAAATAATGAAAGCAGTGTTATGATAGAAACCTTGGAAAACTGTGTTATAGATAGGAAGAGGACAGGTGACCAGGGCAATGGGAGTAGCTGCACAAAAATAAGACTGAGGATTTGCAGTTTCAGCAAGATATTCTAGTATAAGAGTCATGAGATCAGTTGGAGATAGCTGGAGCAAAGGAAGTTGGGGTTGACTTTGCTGATTGAGTTATTGTTTGCATAAAGTGTGCTAGTTCAGCGCCCTGAACTGCTGAAAGATTAACTGAAGGAATGAAAACAGACAGAAAAGAATAAATTATCCAGGGAGAGTTGAAACTTAAAAGGCTACAAAGATCAAGGGAGAAAAGAATTCCAGGAGACATCCTCATGCTTCTCTTAATTCAGTAAAGGGCCCACCATTCAGTTCCTTGGGCCCGAAGCTGGGGTTCATCTAGAATTTCTCCTCTTTCATAACCTGCACTCCATCCACCCCCAGTCTCGCTGAATCAACCTCTACACATTCGACCTATTTTACCATCCGGGTAGCAACCTCACCATCAGCTCTCCAGCATCTCTTGCCAAGGCAACGACAGCAGCCCTGTAAGTGATCTCACAGTTTCTCTTGGTCCATGATCTAAAAATTGGAGTATTTCATCTGCAGTATCTGTTGTATGATATTTTTCTTCTTCTGTAAGGCCTGCCATGATCCTCTCATTCTTAGAACAAATCCAGTATCCCTGCTATTGCACTCAAGGTTCCAGATAACCTGACTTGATGCCATTCAGGGTCTCAACTTCACTACCAATACCTTCTCTCAGTCTGCTTTAGCTATGTCAACTTTTCTTGGGACCCAAAGACTTACAAAATATTAATAAGTGCAAAGATAAAAAGCAATGTAATTATCAAATATGGAATTTCTTTGAAGAAAAATATTATAAATGAGAGAGAACGTAATATAAGCCTTATCCTTTTCCTTCAATTTTCCTTACTTGGTCTTCACTTCCTGAATCTTCCTTAGCATAACTTTTTTTTTCAGCTTTAATTGAGTTTATTGGTACATTTTAGGGATACAGTACACTTCCATTCATTGTTGGGATCTTGTACCTCTACATGACAAGTCTTGATTCTCATTTTTCCCCTTACCCCTGCCCTCCCTTCACCCCCTCCTCCCCTCCCCATCTACAAACACTTTATTTTCATCTTTTCATTCTCTCACATTTTTTTTTCTAACTCATAACACAGGTCTTTTCATGACTTGCCTTTTCACTTTCTATTATTTGCTGTGTGGTCAGTTACTCTTCTAGATACTGGAGGACCCAGTAGGGGAAAACAAAGCAGACAACACTCCTTGCCTCTGTGTAGCTTCTGTTCTCTCTTGATTAGACAATAAACAGGATGAACAAGAAAAATATGTTGCGTGGCAGATGATGCTAAGTGCTACGAGCAGAGTGAGCCAAGGAAATGGGGAGAGGAAGTACTGTATCTGTGCTGGGATGTGGTGAACATGAGTGGGAATTGTAGGCAGAACAGTCAAGGATGGCCCAGTGAAGCGGGTATTTGCAGAAAGCCCAGAGAATGTTAGGGGTGGACAAGCCTAGAATGTGCAATACACCTCAGGTCTCTAGAGGAGCAGGTCAACGGAAATGTGTTTGGAGAGGAGTGGAGAGTGTGGTGTGACAACAGGGAGCAACTAGGTCAGATTATGCAGGAATCTCAGTTTCTCTCTCATCTGTGTTCTTTTTCTTCACGGGGCGTACTTTACCTGATACTATCCTACAGATTTATCTTCTTGTTTAATGTCTTTTTCCTTCACTAGAAGATAAGCTTCATGAAGGCAGAACTGGGGGAACCCTTCTCTGCAACTCAACCAGGAACTCAACTCTATCGAAGAATTTTATCAGTTTATCAATTTTATTGAATAATGAATGAATGAAGGGCAGAAGCCTAAAATGCAGTGTTAACTGTGGACATCTGAAAAGGGAGAGGGTTGTTGAATTTGGCAGATGGGCATTTACTGATCTAGCAGCTTTTATGAATCCACGTGCATAATGGTACGCACCTGGGATGAGGGTAGGAGGGCAGAAAATGGAAGGAAAGAAAAGGTGCTGGAGGGATATCGTCCAGTTCCTAAATTTCCTTAACAAGTTAACTTAAAGAGCTGCCTGTAGTACATTCTTTTACTCTTCTCTCTAACTTATTTATGATTTACTGTCTTAAATCGATACTTTACAAAATTGATTATGTGGTATTATGCAGGTCCATTGTGTCCCTCGGAGAGCAGACAGATCTCTCACCCTGTTCATTGTTAGCATAACTGTGGTTAAAATACTTTAAATCACATGTTAAGACGTAACTTTAATCTCACTGTGTGGGAGGTATTATCTGTTTCCCCATTTAGGTAGAAATGTTAGGAAAGAGATGTACCCCAACTGCAGAGCTTAAACGACATTTAAATCTAAGTGGCTGAAGAATATTTCTAAGATGAAACAAATTACTGTATATGAAAGAGTTTTGTATGATGAAAACTTTTTTTTCAAAAGAATACTGTGTACATTGTCTCACCTTGAAAATAGATGCTCAAAGCTACAGCTACAGTTTAATAGAAGGCATAATCTTATGAAACTAGATATTTACACAGTGCTGTTTAAATAAAATATTGTAGGCAGTGAATTTAGCCACATATGCTTTAAAGATGTCTGTACTTTTAATTGAAAGACTAAAGAAGAAACAGGAAAGAAAAAGGCAAGACATTTCTCCTGCCAAAAAGATGGTAAATCTTTGTACTCCCAACATCTTTGAGATGAAGGATGTACACCATCCTAATAAAACAGCCTGAACAAGGCAGAGCTCAAGACAGAGAACAGAACAGTAGAATACAAAAATAATTAACTTCATGAGGCTGTATTAATAACACCACGAAGAGATGTTCTCTGCTGGGAGTAATGTCATTTTTGTTAAACTTGAATACTTCCATCTTGTCCAGTTTCATCATCAGAGAACCTTACTGGAGAAAAATTAACACGTTGTATGATTATCATGGTTATAACAAAGTGACAATCACCAAAGCCATTAAGTAGTTCTTATAAGCTTATCTGTGGTTACTTCTAAGTATGGTGGAAAATAGTCTTTGCTCCTCATAAATTGGTCAAAAAATATTTCGTCCAACATTTGAGACACTTGCTATGTTATTTTCTTTGTATATTAGTACATTAGGAAAAAACTTTAAATTTTATGTTACAACAAACATAAAGGCACATGTTTTAAGTCACTTTCCAGATTTTTTACAAAATAAACCTTTAAAAATAGGCATTTTCTTGCTTCCTGGAACATCCACTTATAGTATAACTAAAACTTTTTGAAATGGACAACAGTATCTTTAAAGGAGTTTTATTTATTGTCTATTGTCTGTAAGGCTTTTCTTGCTTTCTGTTTGGGCAGTGATGGACAGCTAGCTATACAATTATTTTATTGCTCAACTACATGTGTGCCCATTTAACCTGCTTCCTGACAGAGTAGTTTCCAGATTGCTATGTTCAAATATGGCTTTGTTTTCTGGAAGGGGAAGAAAAGGTAGGCTGAGCTCTCTCCATATCATGCTTGGTTAGCAGGTCAGATGGAAAAGCAAGGGATGCGAACATACTGAGCAGGTTTCAAAACAGCTGACTCCCCCACTGCAAATAGTAACAGGTGGGGTGCTCATTTGGGTCTCTGTGGTCTTCAGATGCAGATGCAGGCAGGAACGTTTGCCTTATGCCTGTTTTCTCTGCCTTCTCAAAGATTTCCAGAATACATGAAGAGAACATTCTGGTTCTCTTTCCCTGAATGGCATATGCATAATTCATACATTCATGTCCTCGTAGTCTCTCCCCCCACCATCTAAAGAGCTGTACTTCAGATGCGCATGGGGTGCACACCTGTAATCCTAGCCGTTAGAGAATGCAGAAGGGTCACTGCTTGTGTGAGGCTACCATGGGTTACAGAATGAGTCCGAAGACAACCAGGACTACAAAGTGAGGTGCTGTCTTAAAGCGAAGCAAAACCCAGAACTGTATTCAGAGATAGAAAGTTTTTTTTTTAAGTGAGCCTTATAAAACAGAGGTAGTTCCAAGACTCCAGGTGTACTCCTCCTTCCCAGCCCCACATGCTTACCCACAATGCATCGCGGCCCAACGTCTTGACTCCCTCACGAAGCACCTCTCCGTGCACTGGTGTCGAGCTCCCTTCCCATCCCTGCTTGGCAGCAGCCCAGAGTGTAAGGAACCTCCTCAAAGTGACAGAGGCTTTTTGGTTACTCCTGGTGAAGCAACACTTGACTCTTGTTGGAGTCTTTGTTACATCTATGCAAATTGTCAATTTAAAAAAAAAATCTCCAAGTATTGGTAGATGTGATGATGCTTTTAAAGAAATGATAGCGGTAAGCAGGACATTGGTAGTGCAGTCCTCCTTGAGATGCCAGGTAGTGTGGCTTTTGACAGCGTGTCTCGTTCTCTTCCTTCACAACATGCTTGCAACCTTACTACTGGCATCATTGCAGTCTCTTCCGGGGGTAGTGGACACTACCCATTTGGGTCTTCTCTCAGCCCTGTAAAATGTCCTGTGCTTTTTACAGTGTTAAATGAAGAAATTGTTTTTCAGGTTTTGGATAAAAATGATGCTGTTTCATTAAAGAAAGAGAAAAAGGAAGCTCCTCTTATAAACAAAGGTAAGAAAAATTCAGTTTAAGCAGATTTAGCTGTACTGTTTTGACCATTTTCAAGGTGTCTTATGTGACACCCTGAGAAATATATCAGAAGTTTGTCAGTAATTTGGAGCTTTAAAAAATTATATTTATTGTTCCAGAAGTGAGAGAAAGGATGCAAGGTGGTTGAGCTGTCAATTGCATGTGTTTTGAGGGAGCAGAGGACATATCCTAGCTGAGAATAAGCTCCCTAAAATTTCCGCACTGCCTGAAATTCCCATGGACCTGTACCCCTCTTCTGATTAAATTCTACTTAGCATTTTGCCAAGGACTGATACAGGTTCTATACTTTTCGGAATCTGCTTAGAAAATTATGATGTTATTCTATTTTCAGTTGTTTAGTGCTTTTCCTGTTTTGCATGATCCCTCTGCAATCCCAAAGAGTATCTCAATTACTAAATGTATTTACTAGTTCTTTCATGACCATAGGATGTAGTGTCCTTCAGGTAGGACTTGAACTTATTAAAGCATAAAGTTCCATCTTAAAATATTCAAGCCCAAAAGTAAAGAAATGGGAAAAAAATTAGGCTCACAATATTTCAATTTCTTAGTCTTTATTCGTCATTACTATAATTCTTTTATTATGTATTATATTATTATTCCATTCTATCTTTTATTTAATATTATAGCATTAGGCTCAAACTGTGTGTGCATTTTCATTGTCATTGTTTTCATTTTGACATTTCAAAGCCCTTCCTAGCCTGCTTAGTGAGTCTCAGTTCATTTGACTTTACCCTTCCCAGTCCTTTCTTGTTATCTATCCAGGCCATTATTTTATGTTCACTTTTGGTAGTGAGCTTATCCTTTGTGCATACTTTGTTGCTTGGGCAACCTAATCAGCTATTAATTCACAAGCTTTGTATTTGAACCCTTTAGTTAGGATTCTAAGAAATCACTCTTTTTCTTTTCATCTTAATTAAGGCAATTTGCAGCTCCACAATCAGAATTTCTTTTTAAACAATTTCTTAATTTTTAAATCCAATCCCTTAATTTTAAAGCTGATCTTTTATAGATGTTTCAAACTGTTACTGTACCTTCAAGTATGGTTCTGCTGGATTTCCAAATTGTAATGGAAATTTGTTAATATAATTTTGATCGTAAAATTAATATTTAATTTTAAATACTCATTCTGGGCTTGGCAGGAATGAAGTGAAATATTTTCAAGTGATTGTAATTATAGATTAGTTGACTGTTGAGTTTAAAAATTTATTTTTTATTCAAGACAGTGAGTAAAGCCAATAGTGCCTACTGTGAGCTTGGAAAAGCTCTTTCATGTTTTCCTAAAGGAGCTTGGCAGATCCTCAACTATTTACCCACCATCTAAAACTTTTTTGTTGCTCTACTCTTCTACTTGGACTTCAGTAGCTCTAAACTTGACAAAGGTTTACTGAATGGAACACGCTATGTGGGCGATTATAATGAAGAATCATAGAGGTAGATACAAGAAAGACATATTGACTCATTGACTATACTGTCCCCAAGACATTCTTAACCAATTGAAGGGTGTTTTAAAGCTTTTACTTACTGTGAACTAGCTAAAGTTTTTTGAAGAGAGACTGGATGACCTGGGGTCTCTTCCTGTGTGAAACTTCAACTCTGTCAGACACACATTTCTTATCATGTGTCAGGTTCTTTGAACCTGAACTCAAAGTGGCAGAGAATGGGATATTGGAGTGAAGAGAGTGATTATCTCAGCAGAAGTTGGGAAAAGTAGAAGGCTGAATAGTCCTGCTCAGTCATCCATACACTCATTAAGCACAAATTTAAAAAAAATCACTCCTCTAGGGCCAGGGATTTGGCTCCTGAGTTCAATCCCCGGTACTCCCTCAAAATAAATAAATAAGATAAAATTACTCTTCTAAAACCAAGTTACATAAATGCACAATGTGTGCATGTATGAAAAAGGAATGAAACCCATTAATTTGTATAATTAAAATCTGTTAATAATAATAAATTTTAAAATACAGCAAATGGGCTTGAACTTATAAAAGTTCAAGGATTATTGTATACACATCATTAAAATTTATTAAAAATTAAGAATATAAACTTAAGAATATAAGTTGCATTAAAATTGATACAGTTTACAAGTGGATGTTTGAATACAAATCCAAATTATATAACATTTCTTTTGGCTCAGTTTATTGTGTACTCATTAAGATTTAATTGTCTTCATTTTGTCTATATTCTTTTGAAGCAAAACAAAAGCTGTACAACGGTACTTCAGCAACAAGAAGAAGCTCTTCTTTACCTAACCTCAAAAGGTAGTGTGCTATAATTATACAAATTCCAAGTGAGTGCAATTATACTGTTGAAAAGTAATTACCAATGTTTAAATACAAGAAGAGAGAAAATAATAGCAATAAAGGCAATTGAGAATGAATCAAAATTTTCAACAGAGACAAAAATAGAAATTCACCTTTTTTACCCAACTGTTTTGATTTCTTTTGTGAAAATGTGGGAATAATGAAATGGAGCAGACTTAACTTCCTACCCACAGTAAATATCTAATTCAAATTACTATACTGTAGCCATAGCACTGATTCCTGACATAACATAAGTTATGATTGTGAAACCATAGACTGATCATTATCTTACTGTTAAACATACATGAAATTACTGTGAACATTGCATTCTAGAATTTAATTGACATGAGAATTCTGTCAACAATAAAATAAAATCACCTGGATATTTTAGATTCCCAGTAGAATTTTAAAAATATTTTCAAGGAAACAAAGTCTTATCCTCCACTATATAAATGTAATTAAGCTGAGTTCCAGGCAGTTGGACTCAGTTGGACCCACCCTTCCAGAGCCCCATTGTTAAAGTCAAGTCCAGACTCTTTAGCCTGGCACAAATCATCTGCTTTTATTTTGTGACAGCCCGTGTCTCTTTATCTACACTTCCTTTATGTGAATACCCTCTGGTACCAGTTCCCATTGCTCTCTTGCCCTTCCAGTCTCAGTTCAGGTGTCTTCTGGGCCTCTCTCCTGCTCCTAGACAAGCTCAGGCACTCGCAGCGCCCCTGGCGGTGGTCAGGTTGTATCATAATCCATTCAGTGCCCATTCTTACCTGTTAAGCACCATCCCCACATTCTCACACACAGTGGTGAGAATTGACTCACAGTTGGATGGAATTTTCAGCTGGTTATCTTTGCATTGCATATCAGCTCTTAAAGACAGGGCTCATGCCTCATTCTGTTCGTTATTCTGAACCTCCGCAAGGTCTCCCCTGATGGTTCCATCTAAAATAGCTTACCCATGGTGGCAAGTTATACTCTCACTATGAAGTCATCCTGGTTTATATTTTTCAAAGCAGTCATTAAGGTTTTAAGGCATACAATTTACTCATCTGCTTATTTTACCATTTTTTTTCTAGTTTGATTGCTTTATTTTTCACTAAACTCTCACTCCAAGAGAACAGGGTCTGTTTCGTTCACCTTTGTGTCCCTCATATTCAGAATGGCACTTGACTTGACATTCAACATTTATTGATTGAATAAATGATATCATTTCCCCCGATAGGGCTGTCATTAGGCCTTCTCATGAATAACACATGAAGTCTAGAATTTGTTAAAACTTAAATTTTAAGAACTCTCCAGACACTAAAACAGAAATATGTGTATGTGTATTAATTCAGGTCTTCATGAAATTTTGTTTTCTTTATCTTATAAATGTGAGCGTTAGAACTACAGTTCAAATAGGATGACATTAATAGATGAAGTTTATCACATGTATTACTAATGCTACTGATGATGAAGGTTACCATAGTAGTTACTAGGTACTGTTTGCAAGCACTGATACTGAGCACTGAATTGTACTATTTATACATTTCATTTAATCCTTACCACAGCTGTTAGAGGTGGGCCCTATTATTATTTGACAGAAGAAGAAACAGATTCAGAGGGAATTCCCTGTGCTCTCATGTAGTGTATTTTACTATCCACTCCCAACACCAGTATGAATTTCCAGCATCCTCAAATAATAAAACAACAACAAAAGAACTTAATTTTAGCATTTGGAAGGTTATGGTTAATGAACCTTCTGACATTGTATAAGCATTCTTTAACAGACAGTTAAGCCCTAGCTTATATAATGTTCTTAATTTTAAAATCAGCTAAAGTTTGACAGTATAGTTAATACCAAAGAACAACTGACAGGGCCAGGGATTTAGCTCTGTGGTTCTGCCGCCTGCCTTGCAAACGCAAAGACCCAAATTTGATCCCCGGTACCAAACAAAACAAAACAAAACAAAACAAAACTACTGACAGCAGAAGCACATCCCATCTGATATATACTGTAATCCAATTTCAAAAGTGTAAACGTGCAAAAACTCTCTAAAGCCATGACTTGAATTCCTGGATGTGAGCATGAAAGATTGCAAAACCTTTCTTCCTTGACAAAGAAACCCCTGCATGATGCACACGTCTTCCCCCTCCCATGTTTTACCATCCTCACCTCTTATTTTTTCTATTCCTGTCATACTGAAGACTTAGGTCTCATAGCATACTGCACTAATTATCCATACTCACTGTGGACTTATTTTTCAGTTGGAGGCCATGGATCCTTTTAAAACCTGTATCAGATGCACACAATCCTGTCCTGGTAGTGCTCACTGTGATTAGAAGAATCTCGGTTCACTCTCCACGGCCTCCATGCACCTGTCTCTCACCTTCCCTTTCCCTCTGGGTCCTGTGACTCTAACCTTCCAGCTCCGACTTTCTCGTCCTACCTGAGCAACCCTTGCGCTTTGTACCCTTGGGTTATCACACCTCACCCAGAGCACTTCTCTAGATCACTAAGTATTTCTTTTAATCACCTTTGTTCATTTTTTGTTTTATTTCTGCATATTTATTTCATTCCAAAATAGAATTTAAGTCTATTTCACAAAGAAAACATAAGTGCTGTACATCTCCTGTTGTTAAGAATAAATTTCACCAGTTCTCTTTCATTGTTGCTACCCTAAAAGCCTCGAATCAATATATGGCAGGAATAAATGGTCATTATTCTAATTAAGAATATTTTATATAACTACATGTGTGGTAATTTTTAGCATTAAATTTATATTCTGAGTTTCATTGGTTGTGTATTAATATGTCATTGTGGTACATGTTGCTGTTTCTGAAATTATTAGCATCTAATGTGGTTCCTACTTTGAAATTATTAACCCCAGCTTGCCCAGTGTGCCTATGGAAGGTGTAAGTTCTGGACGTGAAGCCAGAGTCTGTGTAAGTGGCAGCGGTAAAATTGCTTCTGTGCCTACGCTGTCTTCTCAAAGCACATCTGTCAAGGAAACAGAGAGAAAACTGATATCTAATTTAAGGTAAAGTCAATTACTAAACATATTCCACATTCATTATAAGCAGTGACAATTCCTTTTTTCTACTTTTCCTTACGGAGAGGTAATAATACTGAAAAAGTTCAATGGCTTGTCTGTATGACTTGTCTCCTAACTACACTGAATTAGACATACCATTGGATAACTGTCCTTTGAAACAGAATTGCAATCACTCTTAACTGCCTGCAGTTATGGACCCAGCATTATTTGACTGTTACTTATTCCTTAACTGTAATACAAAATTCTTACTGAATTTTCTTGGGACCCTTTTTATTCTCTCACAAAAACCCTCATGACACTTGTCTGGCTTTTTAAAAAATCAATTTTTGTAGTCTTAGATACTGAATTTATTGAGGGAAACTGAGATTGATTGATTGATTGGCCAATGCAGGATGTCAATATTAGTGGACATGATTATTTGAGGAATTTAGATGGCTGGATCTCAGTTCTCAAAGGACAGACAGGGATGAAGTAAAGTGTAGTATTCAGGGTGATGACAGGAGAGGGTTTTACAATCAAGTGAAGTCTGTAAACAGAACAGGGCATATGGGAGGGCAGGAATATGAGCACAAGCATCTCTGAATTAGCACACCTCCTTAATTTTGTGGGTTCGCCGACTGTGAGGGGCCTCTGTGGAGTAAGAGGCTCTGGGCCAAGAACACACAGCACACCTTTAGCTGGAGCAGTGTTTTCTTAGGACAGTTACCTTGCTTTTTCATATCAGTGACCAACAGAATCCTTCTGAATGTGAGAGTCCTCAAAGGACAGAAAGTGTGTTAGCTTTAGAATCAGCTTAATGAAGAAAGGGTTATTTTGCCTTGCAGTTTCAGAGGCTTCACGCCATGGCCTCCTGATTCCATTGCTGTAGGTCTGAGGTGAAGCAGAATGCGAGGCAGTGGGAGAGAGCAGCAGAGGAAGCTGCTTGCCCCGCAGCAGGAGGAAGCAGAGCAGAAGGGAAGGGAGGACTAGGGACCAAACACATCCCTCGAGGGTGTGTCTCCAGTGACTCACTTCCTCCACCAGGCTCCACCTCCCAACAGCACCATCAGCTGGCAGCCAGATATTTACCATATGGCCTTGGGGGACATTCCAGATCCAAACCATAATGAAGAGGTAGAAAAAAAGAGAGAAACATAGAGGCAGGACACATATATAAGAAGCGACGACCTCTATTCTGTGGTCCTATTGTGAAGAAGATTGCTAATCGCCATAGAACAAAGTTAGTTCTTAGGCTGCAAGGCTACACTTACATGGGTATGAAAGCCCCACACGCTGTCCTCTAGGATTCATGTCTAACACCTGCCCTACCCCAGAAGCAAGGAAGCACTCTTGTTTATCTTTACTAAGACAAGTTATTGATGGGACAGCAAATTCAGCATGCTCCCTACCTAATCAACAAGTTCTGACCAACAAAAGGGCCCAAGATGGCAGCTTGCACTAGCCTGGAAATGAGACAGAAATAGGACTTCAGCATTGTATAAATATTATAAGCGTGTAGAAGGCCCTGTGTCCAGTGATCTGGACAGATGTCATACTGCTGTTTCCTTGAACTGGATCCTTAAAGAATGGGATTCTTGAGCTGGGCGTCGTGGCACACGCCTTTAATCCCAGCACTCGGGAGGCTGAGACAGGAGGATTGCTGTGAGTTCGAGACCAGCCTGGGCTGCATAGTGAGTTCCAGGTCAGTCTCAACTATATAGTGAGACCCTGTCTAAAAAAAAAGGAAAAAAAGAATGGGATTCTTGAGCTGGGCGTCGTGGCACACGCCTTTAATCCCAGCCCTCGGGAGGCTGAGACAGGAGGATTGCTGTGAGTTCGAGACCAGCCTGGGCTGCATAGTGAGTTCCAGGTCAGTCTCAACTATATAGTGAGACCCTGTCTAAAAAAAAAGGAAAAAAAGAATGGGATTCTTGAGCTGGGCGTCGTGGCACACGCCTTTAATCCCAGCCCTCGGGAGGCTGAGACAGGAGGATTGCTGTGAGTTCGAGACCAGCCTGGGCTGCATAGTGAGTTCCAGGTCAGTCTCAACTATATAGTGAGACCCTGTCTAAAAAAAAAGGAAAAAAAGAATGGGATTCTTGAGCTGGGCGTCGTGGCACACGCCTTTAATCCCAGCACTCGGGAGGCTGAGACAGGAGGATTGCTGTGAGTTCGAGACCAGTTTGAACTACATAGTGAGTTCCAGGTCAGTCTCAACTATATAGTGAGACCCTGTCTAAAAAAAAAAGGAAAAAAAGAATGGGATTCTCTAGTGAGTTCTTACTCTCTATCAGCACTTTTCCAAAATTAATTTTTAGGGTCTTCAGTTTTGCAGTTGGGTAACCAGAAATTCGAGTCTTGGTTGGTTGTTTACTGGTCGCTAAGGCTTGGTAGCATGCAATAAATAAATCATATTTGTGTTTGTGTATGTGTATGCATGCATTCATGTCTGTCTCTGTATACGAATAAATATATGAACATCATTAAAAATTTTGCAGAGGACCATATATCCAGTGAATAAGCCATTGCTACAAATAAACCAGCTTTCTTTTTTTAAATTAATTTTATTGGTACATTTAAGGTATACAATATAATGACATTACTTGTTAGAAATTTGTACCTTTACATAATCAATCTTGGCTATTATTTTCCCCATTTCCCTGCCCTCTCTTCAACCCCTCCCTCCCTATCTATAATGACTTTGTTTCCATTATTTTTAATTCTCTCATATTAATTCCTTCTTTCCTTTACCCTACCCCTCCCATTTCCCCTTCCCCTTTGTCCCTTTTCTTCCTCTTTCACATTATCTATTATACCTTTCAGTCCTTATTTACATTTTCAGTTTCTCATACAGAGAAACTATTCAGTATTCACATGTGTGTCATACTTATTTCACTTAACCGTATCTCCTCAACTTTTTTTATGGTTGAGTAGTACTCCATTTTATTTTTTTTAAATCCCACATTTTCTTTATCCAGTCTCCAGTTGATGAGCAGTTGGGCTGCTTCCAAATTTTAGCTATTACAAATGGTGCTGCTATGAATATGGGTGCACATACATCACTCTGGTATGATTCTTTTGATTCTTTGGGCAAGATAGCAGGGGAATAGCTGGGTCAAATGAAACTTCCAATCCTAGTTTTTTGAGGTATCTCCATCCTGATTTCCACAGTAGTTGCACCAGTCTACACTCCCACCAGCAGTGGAGCAGGGTTCCTCTTTCCCCACAGCCCCACTAGCATTTGTTATTGGTTGATTTCATGATAGCAGCCATTTTTTCTGGGGTGAGGTGGAATCTTAGTGTTGTTTTCATTTGCATCTCTTGAATGGCCAGTGATGTTGAACATTTTTTTATACATTTATTTGCTATTTGTACTTCTTTGTCTGAGAAACGTCTGTTCATTTCACGTGTCCTTTTTTGGATTATTCTTTATATTTGGAGGTCTGATCTTTTACAGTTCTTTATATATTCTAGATAGTAGACCTTTGTCTGAGGAACAGATGGTGAAAAATTTTTCCCACGTTGTGTGTTGTCTCTTCACACTGTTGGCTGTTTCTCTTGCTGTGCAGAAGCTTTTTAATAAGAAGACATCCCACTTGTTGATTGTTTGCGCCAGTTTAAAGACAAACTAAGGTTTTGTTCATAAAATCTTTTCCTTCACCAGTGTCTTCAAGAGTTCTACCTAATCTCTATTCCAGCTAGTTTAGTGTTTCTGTTTTAATATTTAGATATTTAATCCATTTTGATTGGAATTTAGTGCACAGTGAGAGATATAGGTCTAGTTTTAATCTTTGGCAAGTTGAAACGCAGTTTTTCCACACCATTTATGAAAGAGGCTGTCTTTCCTTCAATGAGGGTATTTGTCTCCTTCATCAAAGGTGAAGTGTCTGAGTGTGTCTGGAGTTGTTTCTGCATCTTCTAATATGTTCCGCTGGTCCTCAGATCTGTTTCTTCACCAGTACCATGATGTTTTTATTAAGTAGCTTTGTAGTATATTTTCAAGTGGGGGATTGTGATACCCTTTATCTTTTTTTATTGCTAGAATTGTTTTTGGTATTCTAGGTCTCTTGCTCCAAGAGAGTTTTTTGATTTTTTTTTTCTAAGTCTGTGAAGTATGCTACTGTGGATTTCAATTGGGATTGCACTGAAACTATATAGCAGTTTTGTAAGTATGGCCATTTTCACTATGTTGATTCTTCCTACCTGGGAGCAAGGGATGTCTTTCCATTTTCTGATAGCCTCTTCAGTCTCTTTTTTCAGAGTGCTATAGTTTTCAGAGTAGATTTTTTTTATTTCTTTTGTTAGGTAGAGTCATAGATATTTTAATTTTTAGTATGGTATTGTGAAAGGAATTGATTGCCCCATTTCACTCTCAGTAAGTCTGTTGTTTGTGTACAGAAAAGCTATTGATTTTTGTATGTTGGCCTTTTATCCAGGTACTTTACTGAATTTGGTTATTAAGTCTAGGAGACTTTTGGTGGAGTTCTTGGGGTTTTCTATGCAGAGTATCATGTCATCTGCAAATATATAATTTGACTTCTTTTCCTATCTTTATTCCTTTTATTTCTTTCTCTTGTCTAATTGCATTGGCTCATGTTTCCAAAATTATATTGAACCAGATTGGTGATAGTGGACATCCTTGTCTTGTTCCTGATTTTAGTGTGAAGGATTTCAGTTTTTGACCATTTTTTATGATATTGGATGTTGGTTTTTCATAGATGGCTTTTATCAGATTGAGGTATAGACCATCAATTCCAATTTTCTGTAGGGTTTTTATCATGAATGCATGTTGGATTTTGTTTAATGCTTCTTCTGCATCTGTTGGGATGATCATATGGTTTTTGACCTTGGTTCTATTAATATAGTGTATTACATTTATTGATTTGTGTATGTTGAACCATCCCTGCATCCCTGGGATGAATGCCACTTGTTCAGGGTATATGATCTTCTTGATGATTTTCTGTATTCTATTTTCTGGCATCTTATAAAGGATTTTTGCATTCATG